TTTCTCTCCAGTAAGCACATGTGCCTTCTAGCAAGTTAAAAAAAAAAAAAGGTCAAATGATGCCCATGTTTTAAATATGTACTTTTCTAAGCACCTAAGCTTTGAGAAAATTTAAAGATATTGTGCTTTGGGACAAAGCACTTTGAAAAATTGGATAGATCAACTTTATATGATGCTGTGTCTCTTTCTTAAATAACATACACATGATGGCTTGAGTAGAGGTGTCCAGTTCTAGTAAACTAGAATCACATCATAAATCAATATGAAGAACTAAAAAACATATTTTTTTAATCCACATTAGAGCACATGCACACACGTGAGACATAGAGAGATGAGAGATAGAGACAGAGACAGGGAGGGACTTGGTCATGCCACAATAACTGCCCTCCTGTCCTCTTACCCATGCCCTTCGTGTGTGCTACAATATGCTACCAAAGGTACTATAGAAGGTGGGCCAGAAACATATGGGTTAATGTAAACGTGTCCTCTTCTCCCGATGACACTGTTGTTACTTTAAGTTTGACCATGTGGAAGGCTTCTCATTGGTAATTACTGGTTTTCTGCTGAGTACATTGTTAAGTCTGTAAAACAGGGTTAAATTGTGTCAACACATATATCTAAACGTGTGTGTGTGTGTGTGTGTGTGCATGTACATCTTGTAAATCCACAATATTTTCCTTCCTTTAGTTATCACACCTCAGTGTTTTTTTAGGCAGTGTTTCATGACACCTTGATGTTCACGTGGTTTCAGAATAGCTTTGTGGTGTCACAGAAAGAAAGATGATCCACTAATTTAAAAACTAATATTTTAATCATGGTTTTTCTAATTAATTCTATGTATGCACATCATTCTTTATCTGTGACATGGGGTTAACAAAATCTGGGATGGCTGGTGGCATGGTAGTTAAAGCAACTGGATCCCACATGGCCAACTGTGTAGTTCAAGTCCTAAATCCAGTAGCTTGAAAAAAATTTCACATGCGTGTGAGTGCAAGCCCAGATCCCAAAGGGAGGAATGGAGGAGGAGGGATTGCAGTGTGACCAGGCTACATGAGGGGTACATTCTCATTTTTTGGCTCTCTTTCTCTCTCTTCTCTCTCCAGTGAGCACACGTACTCATTAGCAAATTAAAAAAATAAAAATTAGGAACCAGCAGATGGTGTAATGGTTACATTGCTGGACTCCCACATAGTCAGCCATCGTTCAAGTCTTGGATCCAGTAAGTTAAATTCATGCTAGGTGAGTGCCCAAGATCCTGATAGGAGAATGGAGGAGAAGGGATTGTGGCGTGACCATCCCCCCTGGGGGGTGATTTCTCGCTTTCTGTCTCTCTGTCTCTCTCTGTCTGTCCGGCGAACACACGCGCCCTGTAGCAAAAATCTCTAAATAATTCATTTAAAAACTCTTGCCATAATCAATTCAGTGGGAAATAACAAGTGTTGGCAAGGATGTGGAAAACTTGGACCCCTCATTCATTGCAGTAGTGTGTAAAACTGATAGAGACACTATGGAGAGCAGCTTAGCAATTCCTCAAAAACCTAAACACAGTATTATCCCCTGACAATTTCACTCCTAAGTTTATACCCGGGAGAACTGAAAAAGTGTGTCCACCCATAAATTAGAACACTAATGTTGGAACAAGCAGTTAGCATAATGGCTATGTCATTGGATTCCCATGTAGTTGACCATGGTTCAGTCCCGGACCCAGTGGCTTAAACTCACATCAGGTGCATGTGCGTGCATGCCCAAGATCCCAAGATGAGAAAGGAGGAGAAGAGATTGCGGAGCAGCCATTCCCCCTGGAGGATGATTTCTTGCTTTCTGTCTCTCTGTCTCTTTCTGGCAAGCGCACGTGCCCTATAGCAAAAACCTCTCAAAAAAAAAAAAAAAAAAAAAAAAGAACACTCATCTTCACATAGCATTATTCATAATAGCCAAAAAAATATTTAGTCTTTATCCACAGATGAATAAATTGTAAAATGTAGTCATCCATACAATGGAGTATTATTAAGCAATAAAAATGTACTTGCTTCAACATGTACAAATTTTGAAAATGTTACTCTAGGTTAAATAAGTTAGTCACAAAATATCGCATCTCAAGATTCTGTTAATATGAAATATCCAGAATAGACAAATCTATTGGGTCAATTATTGGTTACCAGAGGCTGAATGGAGGAAATGGGAGAGAAATTAGAAGTGACTGCTAATGTGTAATAAAAAAAGGGAACAAATTTTGGGGGTGATAAAAATGTTTCGTAACGAGGTAATGATGATGGTTCCTTAACCTTGTGAATAGACTATAGTCCTGTACACTTTAAAATGGTCAGTTTTATGGTATGGTGAATTATATAGCAGTAAAAAATATTGCAGTGCTTGTATTAGGGACTTGTTTCAGAAATCAAAAAAAATCGGGGTGTTTTTAGACTCTAAGTCATATTCAGAAATCCATGTCACTGAGTAAAGAACATAGGCCTCAGTGTGTGCAACAGGATAAAGAGTTTGTATAAAGTCATCTTTATGGGAGTCATGGGGAACATCACGCAGAGGGTTGATGTCATTCAGAATACTCGCTGGGAAGTACTTTGTAGAAGAATAATAAACTGCACAGAAAAAGAATTTAGTTTAGAAAATAATGGAAGGTATGGAGAGGTGTAGATAAATTCAACTTTCTGTTGGGCTCTGCCACTTTCTGCTTTATGTGTTAACCGTGGTTGTAATAATAACAGTAACTAATGATACTAATCACTATGCTCCCAGACTACAAATCCTTGAAGATGGAACCTTCATTTTATTTTTCTGCATTTCTCTGTAGTGTCCCGCCTCTAGTAATGTTTCAACTGATAAGAGATGAGCTTTAACAAAACAAAACAACCCAATATTCTATTTGAAACCCTATGCAAAGTCTGCTGGCTACTGAAGGGACTTCAAACTGCTTCCTTTAGGAACCTCACATGTTCTTTTCCTTCTTAAATGCTAAGGATGTAAACTCATCCCTCTTTCTGGGCTACAGGTAGACCAGACTTGAGGTCAGTTCATCCCAGGCTTTCAAAGCATGTCCTCCCCAAACTTTCTTCTCAGGCCTGTTCTCTACAACTTTCTGGCGTGATCGCCCTGCAGTCCTCCCTGCCTGTCTTTGCACATATTTAACTGGGGCTGGCTGCAGTGTTTGACATTCCAGACTACTTTTTTTTTGAGAGGATTTTTGCTATAGGGAACATGCGCTCACCAGAAAGAGAGAGATAGAAAATGAGAAATCACCCCCCAGGGGGGATGGCCACGCTGCAATCCCTTCTCCTCCATTCTCCTCTCGGGATCTTGGGCACGTACGCACACACGCCTGGCATGAGTTGAAGCCACCAGGTCCGAGACTTGAACCATGGTCGACTACATGGGAGTCCAGTGACATAGCCATTACTCTAACTGCTGGTCCCCACAGACTACTTCTTTAGGACTCTTACCCCTCTCAGGTTCCAGAGCACCTCTCTTTCTTCTTTGTTTCCTTCCTACATGGCCATCCCTTTTCACAGTCTTTGTGGCCTCTTGCATGGCTTAAGCCCCGGTGACCTCCATCATTTGTACTCTGTTTCTCTTGAACAACAGTGTCTTTCCTTAGCAGTAGCAGTCAGACCCTAATACTTTCAGTGTTAGGGTTCAGGGACTACTGCCCTGTTTCCCAAAGTGTAGCTCTAGCTGAGACCTGTCTTCAGATCTCCATAACTGAAAACCCACCTGCCTTATAGTTCCCTCAGTCTAGTGTGTCTGGGATGACCTGTTTGAAATCTCCTAGCCAATGTCATTGTAACCATCACTCACATGAACCCTGTCATGCAGTCAGAAATACAGGACTGTTCAAGTCTTCTCTGCCTCACTCTTTTTCTTCCAAGCTGTCATCTCTCACGGTCCATTCTCCTTCCCTAATATCTCTCACATCCTTCTCTTTTAGTTTGTGTTCTCCCTAAAGCAGATCTTCACAACAGTACATGGGTACAGGGGAAGTGGGCAATTTATTTTTCCTAGCAACCACTGTGAGAGAGTAAAGACAGAAGACAGGGAAGGAGAAAAACCAATAAAGTATATGTTAATATATTATTACATATACTTTATGTTATATGTATCTTTCTATAATTAACAAATTGTTGCTAATGGCAACTGGGGCACAGTCTAGATGGGGAAGCTTTGAGAACACATATAGAGCCTGTTTCAGAATTGTCCCACCAAAGGGCAAAGAAGGAGAGGAAGTCATCTCTTTATCTGAGGACTGTCCTTTACATCGTGAGCAGGGCTTGCTAATACTTTCTTTTTTTTTTTTTTGGAGAGGATTTTGCTATAGGGCGTGTGCGCTCGCCAGACAGAGAGAGACAGAGAGACAGAAAGCGAGAAATCACCTCCCAGGGGGGATGGCCACGTCGCAATCCCTTCTCCTCCGTTCTCCTCTTGGGATCTTGGGCATGCACGCACATGTGCCTGGCATGAGTTTAAGCCGCCGGGTCCGGGACTTGAACCACAGTCGACTACATGGGAGTCCCGTGACATAGCCATTACGCTAACTGCTGGTCCCTGCTAATACTTCCTTATCTACACTATCCCAGCTACCATCTCCCATTGCTTCTTGGCTTAGTCAATAAATGGGTCCCTTGGAGTTTTAAGGCTTTAAATTTTTTCTTTTAATTTTTACAGATTTTGCTGGAATAATAATTTACACACACACACACACACACACACACACACACACACACACACACACTTGATCATAGTATATACCTTTTCCCTCCAATTAGAGACCCTTAGACCCAGCGCATAGTTTTCAGGATGAAGCTCAATTACCTTAGCCTGTGCCTCCCAAACTATATTCCAAGGTCCTTAGGGCTCATTGCTAACTCATAGTTTAGGACAGGATGCTTGAACATTTTTGGAGAAAAACAAAAATGAAAACAAGAGAAATGAAATAGAACAGATCCTCGACATCTGTTAGGAACTCTTAAATGGTTGTTTTAAAGTAGGCCCTGGTTTCAAAATTAGATTGTACAACTTTTCTTTCTAAAATGCCATTTTATTTCCAAGTGGGACAGTTGACTGCTGCTATGATAAAGAGCAAAACCTGTGTGGAACAGGAAACATGGATGGCAGACTCCAAGGTTCACAGGTAACGTGGGGCTAACAGGAGCATCATTCCATTACCAAACATTTGTGCTTACTTAAGGTTAAATAAAAATGGTATTTTTAAAAATTTATGTATATGACTTTTTCAAATGGCTATGGACTCATTACATAAATACTAAGTTGTTTAGACTTCAATACTTAAAGAAATATATATAGATATATGAATATATGTAATTCCTTTATAATATGTGTGTGTGTGTGTGTGTGTGTGTAATAATTTATTTTTTTCCCTTTAAAAGGCAGCATGAAAAAGTGACTGAGAGGCTAAGGGTCCTATAAACTGAGAAATTTGAAAACTATTGCCTTATGCCCTTATATAAGCATAATTCTTGGGACCAGCAGTTAGCGTAATGGCTATGTCACTAGACTCCCACGTAGTCGACCGCGGTTCGTGTCCCAGACATAATTCTTTTTTTGTTTTTGGAGAGGTTTTTGCTATAGGGTGCATGCGCTCGCCAGACAGACAGAGAGAGACAGAGAGACAGAAAGCGAGAAATCCCCCCCCCCAGGGGGGATGGTCACGCCACAATCCCTTCTCCTCTGTTCTCCTTTCTGGATCTTGGGAACACACACACATGCGCCCGGCGTGAGTTTTAAGCCACCAGGTCCGGGACACGAACTGTGGTCGACTACGTGTGAGTCGAGCGAGATA